AAGAAAACTGCACTCAGTAATGTACTGCACCCCGCGCTCCTTCCAGACTATTTATAAATGCGAAGCTGGCCAACTCCGTGGGAGACACATAGGTAGTTCGCTGCTCGGGAAGGAGGGTGAGATTGAGTGAGGGGCATAATGCTGTCGAGGGGAGTCCGTGGAATTGTTCTTCCCTGCTACCTCCGTTTGACACGCCTTGGGTCACGAACGCCCTTCGAGCATCTCGCCTGCTCCCCCAGCTGTCTTCGGTTTCGACATCAGCTGGCTTTATATGCAACTTGAATCCGCCCATCCCTACCCTATGCTTAGCAGCCGCTGCCTCCGCTTGCCGTTATAGCCTATCAACTTACATGCAAGTTCATGCATTCGCCCCCTCCCCCTTATCATCACACGCTGCACTAACACTACACGAAGAACTAGGAAAATATTGATACAGAAGTTCGCTTCCGCTAGGACAAATTTCGGAAAAGTCATGCTTTGGGCGTCCATTTCTAGAGCGGGAGTCAGCAGAAGCACCATGACCTAAACAGGCGTCATGCGAATGGACGACGGCGCAAAAGTGACGACGTAAAAAGGATGCACCGAGCCGCCTGCACGTGTGTCGTGAGCCAGCTCACTGGTAAACTGTCATGCTCTGAGGAGGGCAGTGACGTCACTTATCTTGCAGCTGGCACGTGCATGTGAAACCGGCCCGGGAATCCGTCAAAACAACTCGCTTTGGAGGACGGCGGCATCTGATTGGCTCTCCCCGTTTACAAACGTGGGCGCTGGGCATCAAACCTGATTCAAGCGATGTGGACGGCGCGCGGTTCGTCCGGGGCGCCATGCATGTCGGGCGGCAGCGTGGCAGCCGGCGGGCCTGCAGCCCCTCCCCACCGCTGCCGCCTCCGCGTCGCATCCGCCGGCACAGCCGCTTACCGCGCGAACGAGCGACGAAAGCTGGCGGGTACTGCGCAGCCGTGGCTGCCGGCTGGCCGCGCTCCAGCGGCGGCGGCGCCGGGGCACGTGGGGCTGCCGTGATCGGCCGCCGGCACGTCACAGCCCGCCGAGGCGGCGTGGCGAGCCGGCGGCCGTGATTCCTCCCCGGTGCGAGGGTGACCCGGGTGGCGAGAGGCTGCCCGCTGTCAGGGGGTCACATCAGCACCCGCGTGGTGGCGTTTGTGTGACCAATATCATGATTGAGGCAATTATGACATTTTTGTTTGGCGATTCTGGTGAGCGTTGACTTTTACTGAGATCCTGTTTTACACATATTCGTCAAAAATTATATCAATGTTTCTTTGCGATCGTGCGTTTAACATTCGAGCTATGAATAACTAACTGGACCAGGCAGGGGTAAGTGACAACCGTAATTATCAAATACTAGATGGTTACAGACACGCTCTTTAAACACCCACCGTTGTTTGTGCAGTGCAACAGTTCCGCACATCTGTTACATCAGGTATTTCGCTCGTCAAGTGTCGAAATGTGACACGCAGGGCCCCTTCCCGACTATTGTGTGAGCAGTGTGCATCAACACTCACCTAGAGGGCAGGATCAGCTGAGTGAAAATCTACCGCTGTCATCTTGCGGCGACGGACAATCGCATGAATGGCGTTTTGTCATGCTATACAAATTTTCGATGGTTTTGGTATTAAGCTTTCATCAACGATCATGAGCGTTAGAAATCCCCGGTTTTATTATTTCTATTATTCAGAGCCCTGCGGCAATAGTGACCACCACGCCAGCTACTTAGTATTATAGGTGTGATCTGACATGATGACAGTTGACATGTGACAATTTTCTATTGTTCTTTACGTGATAAGCAAAAAACTTGCCAGGTCCAGTGCGAAAACCTTGAGACTATCGTGGGCTTTCAGAACAAGGGGCGCAGGATATATCAGTGTAACTCATCCTCGCGACGAAATTTAGCAAATTATAGAACTACCGCCACACGATAAACAAAGTACAGAAGGATGCATAAATGCCTATAATGAAATACAATATTCATGAGACATTTTAGCCGCCCAACTAACAAGCTGTTGGATATTTCTAGTGATATGATAGCGCGATGAAGCCCGAAAATTGCTCTAGCTCTTAAACGTCCGGGACGTCGAAGTCTGATCCGGTTGCGAGTCGGAATAGCGGAACGCGATTAATTCATTGTGCAACCGTTGGTCGTGCCGGGCTGTTCTGGGCACAGTTGGCATGACATAGTAGGCCGTGCCATTTCAGTCAGCCAAAACTCTGTGGACGTGCATGTAACAACCAGATCAACATCACTGGAGCCGTAAGTGAGTGTTCCAACTTAAAAGCATCTTTCAAAAACATACCCAGGTGAAACATCAGGACCAGTTACGTTTCATGCTGGCACTGCAGCACCAGCAAAATATAATGAAAGGATTGTTCATAATCACTTTCGAGTCCGAATTACGCTGTGTGTAGGCGTAGGAGCGATTCCAAAAAATGAGCGGATGCTCAGGGTATAATCAAAGAAGTTTTGTTAGGAGGCAAGCCGGTGACTAAGCGGGAGTGGAGGGTATAAATAGAGGGCAGTGCAAGCTCTTGATCCGTCTTTTGGAAGGAGTAAATGTCACCGTTGCTATGCTAGATATGCACCTACAGTTGTTTCCTACTGGCGCACAACCTCACATATTCGATTCATCTATGGCATTCGGCAGATAACTCAGCCTACTAAAGTTATTAGTTGATTTCAACGTTGTTTCTCCTGAAGAGGCGAAACTCTTGAAACGGAAAGGCATTTTTCGGTCAATGGGAAGACATCTGCACCTACAGTTAAGATGCCAAAATACGGCCTGTACATAAGCTGGTCAAAATTTCGAACTCGAATCAGCGGCCCATAGTCCGCCAGAGTATTCGTGGGCACGGATTTCGTCGGCTGGTTTTCAAAAGATCATGGGCGGAAACCAATTCACAAGCTTCAAATACTATATGCCAAAACTCTGCGGCAAAAGCCATAAAACCGGGGCTTATGCTGTAAAAAAACAAGTTACGGAATGAATGCGTTTCTTTTTGTGTTTCAGGAAGTTTGGGCAGTGGCATTAGTATTACAGAAAAGCTTGGAATCGAAAAACTTTAGGAAAAGCGCCGTAACCGAGCATACGAATGCAGGTGAATAATACACAACCTCGGAAAAGTATGTGAGAGCACCACGAGGAAGGGCCAAAGCACGCGCACGTGACGAAATTAGGCTTCTGGAAACACCGCACACATTACCCCGACACTCATCAATAAGTTGAAACACTTCAAGTGAGCCAGCCCGCCCGCTTGGTTGGCAATCTCGCACGGCCAATTTGACAACCCCTTTGACATAACACAAAATTTCATGACGCAATCAAATGGTGGCGTATTGAGAAGCGTATTTGCGAAATAGTGAAACTGTGTTCCCTCGAGGGCTGTCTTTTTGCATGTAAAAGTATACTGATAGTTGCAACTAAGCATTCATCATATATTATGCCTGCCTCAATATCTTCACATGTGGAACATTCTCTTTAATACATGTGTGACAAATGATGCTCCCAGCTGGACACCTTTGGGGTCTCCTTGGCTGATCGCACTCGTTTCAACTTCAAAGGGGATATTCTACATTTAGATGTGGTAACGCAAGCTTCAGATAAGGTAAGATAAGCTCAGTCTTAACTATGTGTGCACTTTTAAGTGGACAAGACTGCTTTTGATGACGCAATTTTCCTGTTGAGTAAATATGCTCCTCCGTACATCATTGCTTGGTGGCGTCATCGTATCTTGCGCAACATTGACTGAAAGCCAGTTGACGGGCATCATGTCTGGAAATCGTACTCACGAACGCCAGATATGAACGACTTGACAATTACATTTATCTCGGCCTTGACCGTCGCATTTCGATGGTACGGCAGAGTTTGAATGACGTTAGTATGGCGTCATGGATGCCTGGGTGACTGGAAATATTCTGCACGAAATCAACTGCACATCTTCGTGGGTATACAGCTCAGAAATTGGAGGGTAAGGCATTAAGAAGAGCAGTGCTGTGAACTGCACCGTATGATCTTTAAGATTGCTTTTTAAACTCAAAACCCGATAGGAATTTGGGACAATCTCCTTAAACTAGGACCCCTTGTCGACTCTATCCTTACGCCATGCACACCACTCGATCGTGCGGCAGCATTCATCCGTTTGCGCACCTCGTCAATTTGAAACGGCGGTTCGTCGCATGCATAAGCTGCATGTTTCACCTTCCGGCACCTTCTCCGCGAACATGACGTAGGATTCAGTCGGGACCATGCGGCACAAGTGAAAGACCTGTCTCGGTGTTGAGGGCAGTTATTCTTGCCGACGCTTTTTTGTGGCATTTTAGTTAAACTATCCCCGTATGATTGAGGATCAGAAGATATCCACACCACTCCCCGCATGTGTGACTTTAGAACCGCCTTTAACCAAGGTGCGGAATGATCTCCAGTTCACTGGGGATTTCGTTCGTGCGCAATACAGGTTTAACTTCTGGGCGTGGGTAATCCACGATCATTTTCATGTTTTCCCGCCGTCGGACCATGATGCACCAGTTATTATCTCACTAGTATAGACGCAAAAAGACATCAATGCGAGGTTCCAAGTATTGTACTTTGAAAGTAAGATCATGCGTTTTTCGATAGACGTGTTAAAATTGTTATTGGTGCTGTGTGCTCTGAAATAGCTGTCTGTTTTATACGCCTTGTTTTGTTGTCTGAAAGCACATACAATTTTCATGCTGATTCAGTTGTTCTCATAGGCGAGGCCGCCATCATGCGCGTCACTAGAGACAGCTTGCGACACAGCAGCCGACACAGTGGCATCCGCAGCATCCTTCCACAGAAGCGGACGATTGCGCCAGCCGCCCTGACACGTGCTGGAGCGGCGCCCGCGCCTCCCCGGCCCCAGCTGCTTCCCTAGTTCGTCGACGGCCGGTGGCGCCGCCGCCACGGTCACGTGATCGGTGCGTGGCCTCGGGCGCCGTGCCGAGCCGGGCCGGGCCGGGCGGTAGTGTGCCGCCGTCGCCGGGGGGGAGAGCGCCGAGGGATCCGACTGCCAGAAGCGACGCCCATCTCTGCCGTCCCGTACCGCTGCAGGGTCAGGAGAGCCTCCATTCGCTCGCCCGTTCATCCCGACGCAGCAGCGCTGGAGGCCAGCACGGAAGCCATGCCGGAACTCACCAGGTCAGTTCCCTGCCAGCGTCGGGCCCGTCTAGCTGGCACAAGAATCGTGCCGGGAAATGGTTCTATTTTTAACTCATGCGAACCGCCATTCACTTAAAGCTCATTGGAGTCCGCCCGCTCGAACAGAAGTCGGAGGGCGGGGGGGGGGGGGGGGGGTTGATCAATTGCCCGATTGGAAACAGATTGCAGTTTGTAGCCACCACACAGTGTTGCGAGAAACCCGCGAGTTCGGAATCCTGTCGACCGACTGATACACGGTTCAAAGCCGGGGCCCTCTGCTCGATCCTCGAAGCCCCTGCGCGAGTGAACTAGTAAACAGCGTTGGTCATACAGCCTGACGTAAGTTGCTCCAGTGCCCCGGGTGTACCGTCTTCTCTTCGGACCTCGGACCACGATCCGGGTCCTTCCCCAATAGGCCCCATTGCCCGCTGTGATGTAGGACATGGGCGCCGGTTACGTGGCCGGTATGACCGGGCGGTCTGCACGTTTGGTGTTCGGCCGGTGGAAGCATGTACCCTGGACAGCGCAGCTGGCGTCGGGTAGTACTTGCCATCTGCCAGGGCGACGCAGGGGGCACCGGCGTTTCTCGTGCACCGCGAGACAAAATCGACGACCGGTGACTGTCGCTCGGCTATCTGAGAGGCCTTGGTCGAGCTGACCCGGTCGAGCGGACCCCGTGGCCAAGTGGATGGTCAACAGCGGGTATCGGCCGTCGCCTCCCCCGCCCTCACCCCCCGACAGCGCTTCTCGGCGTGCTGCTTACGCTCTGTAACCACGCCCTGACGCATAGCATGCACCGACATAATCCGCCAGGCCGCCGTTGGCAACTGAGAACCCACGCTCCACTAGGCAATACTTCGTTTGCCACTGAGGGAATAACCGCGCAGGGTGTGTAGCGCATGCCAGTGGTTGACGTGGTGATATTGTGTGTCAGTTAAGGCAGACTAAATCCCTGCGTTGAAGCCAAATCGTCCGTAATTATGGTGACTGAATGACCTGATTTAATCCCAAAGGCAAGTTAATATCATTCGTTTCTCAGGGCAGGACGTAACACAGCTATAACAAGATAACGATTGGCTTGTAGAACGATTGAGACCTGCAGTTCACAATGCCTATCGGGATCGTCATCTGTGGAGTCAGTTACAGCCTTAAGATATCTCGGAGTGGCACAGGAACGCCAGCAATTAGAAGTTGGAGAGAACTTCATCTGAAGCAGTTAACTCCCGAATGTCACCGTACGATTCGGGTTAACTTCCATCAAGTGAGCGGGGCATGGGCTCCTGGCGCTCCTACCGCTATCTTCCATCGCAGCTCATGCGTAGGTGCAAAACAGGACATTTGACGTGTTTGTTGCAGCGGTGCGTACCGCAGTGTGCGGTGGCGCGATGGGCCCCGGCGAGGCCCGCGCGCTGGCCGCGCGGCAGCAGCCAGCTGCGTCGCTCCCTGTCCTGCCCGACCTTCGGCAGGCCCGGCCAGCGGCGGCGCGGCCCGGCCCGCGCCCGGCCGGCGCTGCATACTCCCGTACCCGTTGGCCCGGGTTGCACAGGCGCCAGGCGCGACCCCGGGCACCCGACGTCACGGGACAAACAACGCGCCGCGACGCTGCCCCAGCGGCGCCGCTCCCGCACGGCAAACTGCGCCACGCCGGCCATACCCCAGCCATGGAGGGGCGCAGTAACCGCGGCTGCATGCGCACCTGTAAACGTACAACGAGCACTTGCGAGAGTCTGAGTCGGCGCTGTTGTTGATTTGTTCTTCGTGGTAAGCAGTGGTCGGGGGGTGAAAAAGTGCCTTTTCTGTCGCTGACGAAATTTAAACTGTCTAAATTGTTGCCTGGAGCCACAGAAACCGCTGCAATATGATTCTAAATGCAATGAGTCACAAAGCAAAGGCAAATGTAATGGAATGCGGCATAGCCACCGGCATTTTTGGTTCAGGATCTCATTTGTACTTGAGTATCATGTGCTGGCCATTAAGAACTGAGTGATGGTCGAGGCTGAACTCATAAAAATTATCAGCTAACGCATTCTTAACATAACGAGCCTAGAGGCGTGTAGTTGCGTGTAGTTTATCACCAACTGGTTCGCAAAAGTGTTTTTGTCTCTGAGCATATCCAGTAAATCAGCTTTTTCAACCCATGATTGTGATCACCACTTTGGTCGCATCTCAAGTTGAACTTGGTCACCCTGGATTTGACCCACTTTCCTCTCAAAGTTGTGGGGAGTGGGATCTCCCCCTCCCAACTGAATAACAATTTACACATTCTGAACCTTTTCCGACATATCAAGATCGACCAAGTCGCTCACGTTGAGGGAAGGGAAGTGAATGTCTGGTGCACCGATCATGCCTCGGGAAGGCAGCCTCTCGAAGTTTAAGCTGTGCTGCGGCGTCTGGGTGGAAAGTTCGGTAATATGTTTGCTGGAGCAGGTTTTACCGATGAGTACTGGTATCCACCCACAGGGATGCGGCAAAGCAGTCGAACGGTTATTTCACTGTCATTCATGCGGGTGGCGGCCGTCATTAACGGGCTCCGTTCGGGACATGACGGTGGCCGCCGACGGTATGCGGCAACATGGGTTTTCCAACGGAGAAGATTGGAAAGTAAGATCTTCATTCTGTGGTTATTTGTGTTCTTTTTTGCGAGGAAAATCCCATTTCAGAACTATTGTCCCATTTTTCTTTTTTAGGCAGACAATGTTTGAATCGTCCGAAATTATTTCTGCCCAAATTGTGCGACAAAAACCGTCCCTTGAAAAATGGTGGTCGAAATCCGCGCACCTAGAATGTCGACCAACATTGGGGGCCTGGAAACCTTTGCCTTCACTGTATGCCATCGTCGTCGTCTCATTTAGAAGCCCACGCTCCTGGTTCGCTGACGCGAGACTTCGCCTACAGGAACCGTTCCAGGTTATACCGAGCTGCTCATTTTCGCCCCATCCTGTGGATAGGTATGGCGGGTGTGAACGGACCCATCAACGTTTGCAGCAGTCATAACGGGTATTATTGCTTATTGGGCATGCAAAGCAAAATGTTGCCAATGCGCAAGCATGCACCCAACAGCAAGGGTCACCAAACACCGAATTTCGGTTACTTCGCGTGCTCCAGCTGTCGATTACCACCGACACTTTGTTATATATTGATGTTTTGACGCTCCAACCCCCCAAAAGGCGTCAATCAATAAGAACGTGTCTAGAGTTTAAAAGCATCACTTGTAATTGTGGGCTGTAATTTTTCGTCCTTTTAGGCCTAGACCTATGGCAGCGTCAGATGCCTGACAGCCTTGCCTTTCGCTGAATTTTGACGGACAGCATCATCGCTTAGCTCGCGAACCAGCCGACGCCGGAGGAGCTGTCGAGCGAAGGAGCGGCGAGAGCATCGTCCTTCTCCTCTCCGGACCGCTCGAGTCTGACCATCCCAGCCCCGGTCTTGCGCTGGTCGCAGGGCGTCTACGGCTACATGCAGCCGTTGACTGCGGTCTGGCATATGGGCGTGCCTGAGCTCCCCCCCCCCCCCCCATCCGGGCAGTCAGCGGCAGTGCAGGCTAATGCCCGCCTGACCCTGAGCCGCGCGGCGGGCATCGGGACAGCTGTGCAGTCCTGCAATTGGCGCCCCCCCCCCCCCCCCCTCCACCTCCCGCCTGGCAACAACACCCGTCGCTGGCTCCGCGAGACGTCGCTGGCCGCTCCTCGCGACGGTGGGCGAGCACAGAGCTCCACTCAGCGGCCATGTCCCGCATCAGAAGATAATTACCAGACCTCGCCACTGCCGACAAATCTCCGAACCTTCTTCTAGTTCGGTACTCTTCGTGTATCCTTAGTTGGTCCTGACATCGGGCGACATGTGGAAGGTGATCATGGTTTTTGTGAAGTGCTGTGTTTTTCTAGACATCGTCCAGGTGGCAGAAGCTAAAACCGACCGACCCACTGCTCTCCACTCTCAGCAACGGGCCAAGTCCGGCCGCGTGTGTTGACATGAGCGGTACTCGTCGGTGCTATAGCCTGCAGGTGGTGCAGATAACGCGTGGACATCTGCCCACGATTGCACAGTGGTAACACATCGCCCTGGAGGTGGTATGTTTAAGGGAGTGACGGGTTTCGTTTTTGATATGGAATGCAGATTTTGCGTTTATTTCAGCTGCAAATAAGTCGGAGTACTGTTGGAGCTATTCTTGTACACTTTGTCATGCATCCGAATGCATGGAGAGCTGTCGTGTACTATTCGTGCCTTCACCCTGCTACGCAAATACGGTGGTCAGACGGCTTTGCTACTGACATGCAGCCCCACCTGACTTCCATAGCGTGCCACCAAAGACGCCTTGGAGTGCCACCAAGTGACATGTCATGCCATACTGGCATCGGAGGGGGCGCCGGTGGGCGCCAGGGCGCTGGGCATCCGCACCACCCAAGCGCCGAGAGCGCGCCAGACCGTGCTGAACCATCGGCCAGCGTTGGTCTCCTGCGCAGCTTCCGGCGGCCGGTGCGCCAGCGGCGGCCGTCGCGTAGTCCTCTCTAGTCCTCTCAGCGAGCGCCGAGGTGCTGCTGTGTGTGCTCTCGGCTGGGCGGCTGTGGCGGTGGTGTATACGCACTGCTGTGCATCACGTGCACCGATGTCAGAAATAGCCGTGAATTGCGATCATATCCAAAAATCGGGAGCGGTTGTTTCCACTCGCACATCGAGCCTTCACGTAAGAGCGAGATGCTAATAGTTCAGTTCCGTAATTGGGTTCTTTGCCCCAATGCATTTGCTGTGTCGAATACTTCCGAACACGTTAACATAATTAACCCCACGAAATGAGCTGAGAATCCGCATGGCTTAGGTTACTTGAGTCTCGTTGTTCAGGTTCGAGAGGGAAGTCATTTAATTGACCCAGTCCATTCTCAATGGAAATGGAGGGCACATGCCAAGGGCCAAACTGTGAAGCAAACGGAAGCGTTTAAAGCGAATGGCTGGGAGAAGCGTGTGCTTATCCAATGGGCCATGGCTCGTCCAGTGCAACCCTCGCCAAGCATTGGCTGATTTGTCGTGCACTTAAACACGCGAAATTTTTCCAATATTTCTTTTGTTTTTGTCTACAGGTATCGCCATGCGAGGTAAGCCACCCGTGCACTGCCCATTATAAGTAAGAAGATTGGCTAGGTGCCTCTTCAAAATGAGAGTGTGCCGATATTGTGCAGCACGAGCAATATTGGCTGTATCGCTATCGTTAAGCTGCTGTCGACTGATCGTGACCAACCGTGGCCCGTGGCGTGGTCAAGTCTTTTGTTAAGCCAACAAGCCTCAAAAGCCTGTTACATAACCCGAGATATCCACAAACTGCTTTTAAACGTAGTGCTCATTGAACAGCACTGGAGTTTTGAAGTTGTTTGAATGGAGCTGGAATCCGATTTCCCATCGCTTACATTAGTTTTATAAGTTTCTTACGATGACCTCCATTGATGACATGCCCGAAAAAGAAGACCTTGAGGACAGGTAAGACTTTCCAAAGGGACATTCGTGAAGTGTGCGTCGCATTTGTACGTTATCACTTCTAATGCTGATTTCTTCGTGAACTCCCTACATGCCCCACGAAGTCCGCAGAATCCGGTTTTCTACAGTATTTGCGCACCTCACATACCCAAGTTTCAGTGCACATCACCCATCTGCGTCATCCGGAGCGATGGGCGGCTGGCGGCGGGCAGCCGGCACTGGATGAGAGGTGGGGGGGGGGGGGGGGAGGGCGCCGGTGCGACCCTTTGTCCGGCCGGGCGGCCGGACGGTCGGACTGGCCGCCGAGCCGGCAGAGGGTGGGGCCCGGCCCGGCCGGCCGTCTGCGCCGGCGCGTCGGCGGCAATCAATACCTGGGATCACATGTTCAGAGCCTGATCGAGGCGTGTGCGCTACTCAGACGGCGGACGGCCTGTGGGTGGGGTGTACAGTGTGCGTCGGCCGTCCGGACCCGCCGCCTTCCCAGCCAGTGTGACACCGAACACCGTCGGTACCGCTGCTGCGCGTGCGGTGAGCCACCACCGGCTGCTGTAGAGCCTTGGAGCGTTACCAGACGTGTGATAGGTCGATCCAAACTCAGCGTATTCCACGGCGAGATTGGTGTGTTTGTAACTGTATAGGTGCGTCTGGCCTGTATTCCGTGCCCACCCAGGCGTCCACTTAACCTTGCAGCAGCAGCGTTTTGCTAAGGGCTCGCTTGGTACCCATGGAGTTGCCTGGCTAAACTTATTGACGAAGTAAGTGGTCGTCATACCCCATGAGGCTGCTTGAAGTTATCGATGACCCAAGTTAAATCATTACTGTAGATGGTCTAGAGCACAATGCTGGGTTGCAAAAATGTGTGTTTTTTGGGGGGTGTTAATCGATGGGACAATTATTATGTGATTACACCACACACCCGGGCCATCAGCTGTACATTTCGCCCGGCTCGGCCTGTCAGCTGTACACCTCGGCCCGGCCTGCCCCGGTCCGTCAACGGTACACCCGGTCCGGCCTGCCCCGATCCGCCGGCTGTACACCCCAGCCCGGCCTGCCTCGGCACGTCAGCTGTACACCTTGATGCGACCTGCCCGACCCGCCGGCTGTACACCCCGATCCGGCCTGCCCCGGCCGGTCAGCTGTGCACCTTAGCCCGGCCTGGCCCCGCCTGTCGTCTGTGCACCTCGGCCCGGCCTGCCCCGGCTGGTCAGCTGTACCTTAGCCCGGCCTGGCCCGGCTGTCGTCTGTACACCTCGGCCCGGCCTGCCCGGCCCGTCAGCTGGCACCTTAGCCCGGCCTGCCCGGCCTGTCGTCTGTACACCTCGGCCCGGCCTGCCCCGGCCCGTCAGCTGTGCACCTTAGCCCGGCCTGCCCCGGCCTGTCGTCTGTACACCTCGGCCCGGCCTGCCCCGGCCCGTCAGCTGTATGCTTCGCCCCGCCCCGCCCGGCCCGTCGCCTGACGCGAGCTGGCGCGCGCCAGCTGCTGTCAGCCGGAGTTCGGGGGCGCCCGAACCCCTGAACACCGGCCGCGCCCGGGCCGCGACGGCGCCAAAACAGCGCGCCATGGACTACGCCGAAAGTGGCAAGTGGGGCAAAGGGGGGCCGCGCCGACCGGCTGACCCAAATAGCTGTGTTCTAGCCATGGGCTAAACGTGGCGGCAAGGGTCCAGCCATACAGGATGTCGGTCTGTGAAGTACTCGGGACAGAGGGAAGCGCATTGTTACGTCGACCCTGAAATGCTGCTTCTTGGATGCCGTTGGTTAGAGCGGAAACTTTTGGGAAAGATCTCGTACACTTTCTCCACTTGCGTCACATGTGGATGATTCCAATAATGTTGTGCATACGTCGCTACAATGCACCACCAGTTTGCTGGTGAGGCAGCTGGCTCCTACCCCTGATCCCTGCGCGCTTGCGCGACCCGTTTCAGGGATTGGTTGCCTGTGCACCGGTATCTAGGCTATCCTTAGAACAAGCAAATAAATTTAATCCGAACACGCAATTTCTCTTGCGTTTTAGATATGTGTACCTATGGGTGAAACAGTAAAGGTTCACATGGGAAAATATCTGTATTTATGATCTCGCGGGGTGCTCTTCTGATGAAATGGAAGAAAACACATGCTGGCTTCAACTTAGGCCCAGTCATGAAGTGTAGCCCCCTCCAGGCTAACCCCGCTCACACTGAGGTCACGTTCGTTTGAACTGCATATCTGGCCTCCGGTTGACTTGTCATGTCAAGGCCGCTCCGGCCGTCCTACCAAGACGACCTTACAAGTACCGACAAACTTCAGACAAATGACGTTATAAACGACCGACGAACTTCAGGCAAACGTGGGTAGTACTACCAGTGCGGCGGTGCTTTGAACGACCCCAAAAAGTGCGATTGTTTCGTAAACGTATCTGTACCCTTGCTGGCCCCAGCAAAAAATGCGATGCATTCTAGAATCCGTCGCATCATTGGACACTGCGAACGCGGCTCGGCCCCGGTATGCCCCGTCAATGAGGGTGTCTCGTTAGCAAACATCTCCATCTTCAAGACTCAAAGCACCAGCTCGTGTCCGAGATCATCGTCTGCTGATGGAAGAGCTGACGTGCATCCCGATCTCAGCGGTGTCGCCTTCAGAACATCTCACTGGACACGAGCTCGGCTCGTCTGGCGCCTCTGGATACCGCAGTCAGCTGTCGTCACCAGTCATATGAGATTCTCGCTTCACCGAACTCTATTTCGGATGAGCGATGCTCCAGAGGTCCTTCCAAAAGTAGCGCTGATGAACCTGTGGCCTCGCCTGAGCTCCTGCCTCCGGCGTGACGCCCTCCACCGAGGTGACCTGACCTGTCACGAGTCAGCCGCGACCGCACCCATGACGTGCTGCCCGGCTCAGTTCCAGGAAGAAGCGGGGCATGCCGCTGCATCAGGTCAGCATCGAGTCGCCCGGCCCCACCATGAAGGGGTGCGTGTTCAACTTTGACGTGCCGATGCCGGAGGTGCCGCCGGCCGGAGCCCGTGTCAAGGTGAGTCGCACGCTGCTGAGGGGCGCCGGGGGATAGGGAGTCCGTCATGGTGAGACGCACGCTGCTGAGGACGCCTAGTGATAGCAGAGTCCCGTCAGGGTGAGTCGCACGCTGCTGAGGGACGCCTGGTGATAGCCGGGTCCCGTCACGGTGAGTCGGACGCCGCTAAGGGAGCTGGGGATTGCCGAGTCTCGCCAGAGTGAGCCCAAGGGGGAGGCTAGGACGGGTAGACGTCCCGGCGTGATCAATAGCTGGAAGGCACTGGCCACACTGGCGAGGGCGAGAGAGATCATACGGAAGTTACACGTGCGGAACAACGAAGCATTTTTTATTCATGGGAAACCGCCCGCTGGGCTATTGGCTGCTTAAAGTGAGATTACCTGTTTGCCCCTATGTTATGCATGGTCTCGTGTGTCACAAGGTTAACAACACGCGCACAACACTGCTCCTCTCAAACAACTGTAGGGCATGACACTAGAGTGATAGCTACCGTCGTAGCTCCAAGCTTAGTACATCTGTTACGTCTGAGGTGGTTAACGCCATTATTAAGGGGTAAGTCGACACGAAAAGGGGTGGGGAAACACGCAGACCACGACGTGCGCAAACCCCTGCCTAGGTTATATTACTAATTCAAAGTCGTAAAGGGAATGAAGTGGTCAGTTTTAAGAGAACGTGGTCAGTTCCCGTCAAGAGTTCACCACCTTAAGTTTCTTCCGCTTTCCGAGGTCTTTAAAGGAAGCGGATACATTGTGGACCTTTCATTGGTTGCAACTTTTGCGTCTCGGAACCAGGTGACCGAAATATAAAGGCATTGAAATAAGTTGAAGGCTACTCATGTATTTTTTAAACTTTGCATATGACAGTACTAGCAGGTGAATAGCGCCACTTTGAATCGCAGCGAATGATTTTAACAATGTACTTTGCGTACATCAACCATTTTCTACGTCAAGCCTACTTACCCACCAAAAAGCGAACCCCTAGTAATGATGTAAGGTAAACAACAGCTGTAGAAGCTGCCCTGCCCCTACTCCGACCAATGCACTATTGAGTGTCGCCCCACAATCCCTGAAAATGAGACAGACCGTTCCTGGTTTTTAGAGACGATAGCTCAGACTTTTGCACTTCTGTACCTAAGTCGAGTGCTGCTTAAGAAGAATATGCCGATTAGGCTAATCTTTGCCATTGCCAGGTAACAACCGTGTTTTAAGAACCGGCGCGCGCATTCCGCCGTGAATTCAAAGCGTATGTTTCACCTGCTTTCGTGGGTCACGTGACCAAGCAGCGTAACGACTGCGGGGTTTCAGCGTGACTGGTCTGATGTCCGAACGGCAGAGCGACCCGGCGCGCCTTGCGCGACGCCCGAGTGTGACCGGCCGGCCGTCGTTTCAGGTGATGTGCGCAGGCGTGTGCTACCGCTCCAAGCGGTCCATGTCGGTGAACAGCGCCGCCTCGCTGGCCTCCATCGGCTCCGACGGCTCCAGCTGCAGCAACAAGGGCGTCCGTGACACCTCGCTCTTCCCCGGTAGGCCATCACGCGCGGCCGCCGACACCGTGGACGGGTCGGGCCCTTGTTGCTGCCGGAGAGTTGTCACGCTGCGGCGCTGGGTGGCGCTGGCGTAGGCTACGCATAGACCGTATGCACTCTTGCTGTGATCGGCCGGCTGAGACACGTTTGCTGCCGTGGGTTTCGGATGCCTTGTAGACAAGACGTGATTGCCGTGTCGTAATGGCCGATTCTGCCCTTCAGGTTTGAAGTGGCCGGACAGATTGAGAGCTTCGGCGAGAATGTGGACCCGAACTGTGGTCTGAAGATCGGCGACAATGTCATCGTGTATCCCTACGTGGGATGCCCGGACGGGTGAGTCGTCAAACCGTCCATCTCTTGGCGGTTTGTGATGGAATGTAGCTTTCGTAGTGTAGCAATGCAAGTTACCGACATGACATGACTTTCCGCTCGCCGAGAGCAAAGTGGTTGTTTGCTCCTGGTCACCGATCCTCGATCGATGCTCGTTGTCGATAATGCCCTGGTCGCGGCCGACACGTGTTCCGAACCGGGCCACATGCCGGGCGCCGCTGGCGGGCCGATGATTTGACCAGGTTCGTCGGTATGGCGCCCCGCAGGTACGCCGAGTACGTGCCCGTGGAGGACGTCAAGTACCTGGTGAAGGTGCCCGGCTCGGTGTCGATGCCGGTGGCCTCGATGCTGCCCAGTGGCGGCCTGTGGGCGATGAACACTGTGTTCACCGCCCGCCAGTACGTCGAGAGCAGCTGGCCGAGCGGGGCGACTCTGGTGAGAGCGGGGCGACTCTGGTGAGAGCGGGGCGACTCTGGTGAGAGCGGGGCGAGTCTGGTGGGAGCGGGGCGATTCTGGTGAGAGCGGGGCGAGTCTGGTGAGAGCGGGGCGATTCTGGTGAGAGCGGGGCGATTCTGGTGAGAGCGGGGCGATTATGGTGAGAGCGGGGCGACTCTGGTGAGAGCGGGGCGATTCTGGTGAGAGCGGGGCGAGTCTGGTGAGAGTGAGACGTGGTCGGCCGCGGTGACAGTATCCAGCTCGCCGTTTGCGCCACGCACACAGGCAGCCGCCTCCGACACATGTCCGTGTCCGTGTCGTGTCCGTGTCCGTTTCCGTGTATCCGTTCATGTCTGTGGGAGCGAGCAGGGCCGGGACTCACTGCCAGAGTTCGGCGCTCACTGATAAGGACAGTCTATCTTATCTGATCTGTTTTGAGAATGTCGTCCGTCTTCGAGTAGTCGTGCAGCATTGTCGAACGCGCAGCAGTCTGCGGCCTCCAGTTCTGGAGGTGTTTGATGTAAGTAAAATGATGTAAGGTGTAAGTAAATGATAAGATGTAAGTAAATGATTAGATGTAAGTAAAATGAGAATTCTTGGAAAAGAGTTGACAGATGAATTAATGACAAGGGATGCTGGGAGAGGACAGGACAGAAAGAGCGACTGGGCTTAGGGGCTGCGGATGCTGGAGTGTCGGCCCGGCAGTGGGCCGGGTCAGGTTGTGTCTGGTGCCATGGCGAGCGTGCCTGAAATAGCTGTCTCTGTCCGTCCCACGCGCCGCGCCAGCCAGCGGCCCGGCCGGCCCAGCTGCAGCCGCCCCTCCCTTCCCCGGCTCACAAGCAGTGCCTGGTGGTCTAGCCGACGCTGTGGCGCGGTGGGCGGCTGAATTAGAGAGTGGTAATGGAACGATGCGCAGAGTTAGTTAGTCTGGACAGCTTCAACAACGACCGAACCGTTCAAAGAATAAGTTATCAACTGATTGATGGGACATTTATGAGTGCGACGCTAGGGACTACATATGGGATCAATTAATGGTATTCACATGGATTTGAATAAAAGCTCTATTTATTGTGATTGCACCTTGATAAAAATGCGAGTTAAAGCCAAGTCATCTGGACCATTGTTCTGTTTTAATCAGCTAAATTCCAGACTAATCGCCTGGGGCGTTTTTAAGACTAAGACTCCTTCCGCCTCTCGATGTGCGAGGACGTGTGTGCTACCGATAAAACCAGACAAAGGTGTATATCTTGTCCTGACATCGCCCTTGGTCTCGGTCCCGTTGTCAGGTGACACCAATTAAAAGCGATCACAGGTGCCTGCCTCTTGATCGTGATGTGAGATCAGGTCATGTGACCAGATTCAGAAACAATGACGTGTGCATTAGCACTTTGAAATGTACCACGGGACAGCAATGTTTGTCTTCCCGTGCAGTTGGCATGTCTGATTTATTTTGTATCGTGGGTGGCGTGCGGCAGGAGAGCCCGCTGTGGGGACACGTGCCCTCTGACCGGTGGCGTGACGTGACGTCCTATGGGCTGGCGCCGCTCGGCCAGCCGCGGCTCTGACCGGCGGCGTGCTGTCGTCGGCAGGGAAGGTGAACGTGCTGGTGGTGGGCACTGGCGGCCTGGCGCTCTGGGCCATCCGGATCGGCCGCTTCTTCTTCCCCGAGTGGACGGAGGGACAGTCGGTGCGGCTGACCGTGGCTGTGCTGCGCGACGAAGGCCCTGCAGAACATCACCGACCAGGAGGAGCACAAGTGAGCAGCGGCCGGGCCACGGAGCCGAGTCATGGATGGCGGCGGTACCAGTGTAGGCACTACGGGACAGATCCGCGCGACACCCGCTTTAGGTGGCTCGACAGTGTCGGGCAGACACGTGTGTATACGTGGATGAAGGTCCTGATATTGCGTTGGGTGTGATGACTATGATGAGCTCAGGGATATCAGCAGCATGCTAGCAACACTGTGCCAAGCTTTTGGTCAATATTTGACGAGTACTCTGGACAGATGGTGTGTTTTAGGCGCACAGATATGGCGTCACCATCGCGCCAAGTGCTTTTATGGAGATGCCATGAGGTGGGCCTTCACGACACGTCTGCTCTGACATTCTCGCCTCATCTGCCCAGGGTGGCGGTGTCAAGTACCATACATGCATGCATTCGCGGGCACTTCTTGACATGCATGCATTCGCGGGCACTTCTTGACCATCACCTAAATATTACGCGCAACACTGCAGCGTTCGGTCACAGTTTGGTTGTTTGTTGTTGCGCGCGGCAACGTTATTACTACTGGGAAAAATATCGTGTGACTTCTCTGGCGACGCTGGCGGTACGACCCAAAGGACAGTATTTGAGGCATCCCCGCTATCACCTTGTTCATTCCGTCGATATCGCACAGATTGGGCGGTATCCGCCTCATGTCGCGGCGACGTGCCGTGTCGAGGAGAGGTGACCCTTGCTGTGCCCGTCTCTGTCGCGCGTCGCCTCATGTCGCGGCGACGTGCCGTGTCGAGGAGAGGTGACTTGCTGTGCCCGTCTCTGTCGCGCGTCGCCTCATGTCGCGGCGACGTGCCGTGTCGAGGAGAGAGGTGACCCTTGCTGTGCCCGTCTCTGTCGCGCGTCGCCTCATGTCGCGGCGACGTGCCGTGTCGAGGAGAGGTGACCCTTGCTGTGCCCGTCTCTGTCGCGCGTCGCCTCATGTCGCGGCGACGTGCCGTGTCGAGGAGAGGTGACTCATGCTGTGTTCGGTTGTCGCAGCGCCGGCGAGCAGTTTGAATCGCCGGGGCTACACGGGCGGTACGCTGCTGTCCTCTGTGCAACCCGTGCACTCATCTCACATGCCGTGTGACGCCACCACTAGTCTAATGGTGTTCCCCTTTAACCCCGCACTGGAGCCGGACGACTCACAGCGTGTGAGGGAGTTGTTTTTGCTGTGCTGAGCGTGCGTGGGGACTGGGAACGGCGGCGATAGCTGGCTGGGTTTGCAGCCATGGGCTTTGCCGGAATGCAGGACTGGGGAGGGGCTAAGGAGTCTCCTCAACGTGTCTGCAGGGGGCGAGGGTCTCCCCAAGGGTCACCGTACGAGTTGAGGGGGGGGGGGGCTATGCGGGAGTTTCTGAAGCCAGAAAATGGTTCATGCAGGCAACGGACGAAGTACGTTATATATTAGACGCCCCTTAATACGTTTAAACAACTTTAATCGAAAAAGAATCGATTGAACGGTTACCAGCTGATGTCGGTTTTCATCCAGTGAAAGACACCAGCTATGTGCGGGTCAAAAGCTGTTTTGCTGACTTAGAGAAAAGTGGGCGCGTTAGCCACACGTTATTTCTTCTGAGCACCCTTAAATGGCAAGTACGTTAACATCCACTTTATCGGTCTTAACTTTATGCCCACCACACCATGGAAAAGAAGGGACAGTTATGCCGCTTTTGTAATTTAGCATTTCGTTTAGGGGTAAATCTGCACTAGGTGTAACGCAGGTGTGGCCTAAAATAGTCTTATCTTTTACGATATATTCATACCCTGCATTAATGTAAACCGAAATGACCTGGTGATGCAGAGTTGCTGCTCTCTTCGATAGCTGTTGAGTGTCGCGCAGGCGAACGCCAGTTTCGGCTCGTTGGCCGGCTAGTGACGAGTCCTCTTTGCGAGTCCGTAGCACTGCTGGCTGCTCAGTTTTATATCATCTCCCATGTACTTGTATTGGCGGCAATGTTTTTACAGGACTGCCTGAGCTGGTTATCATACCCAGCTAATTTTAGCCGAGCTTCTTGTGTACCACCTTGTTTGAATGCGCCTACGCATATCCTTTCTATAAACTCGTTTCCAAGGACTTGTCTTGTTTGGTTCGAGTGCCTGCTGAGCAGGGCTCGTGGATTTAATCCCGCACCATAACCCGGGCTGCGCCATTCCGGTTCATTCGAACGTTTCGTCATGTGTGGTTTTCGGCCGAACTGGAGTAGCGGAGTGGTATTTGCTTACCGTGCAATAATGTAACGCATCCGCCCCGTGCCAGGTCCCCGTGGGCAAGACCAGCAATATTGTTTGAGATAAAGTCGAACAAATTCAAACGTGCCCCAGTATTTGATCCGTGGCGAGTACCTAGCGACAGCTGCCGGCGATGGGTCGGGGTCTCGGTGCAAAGTCCAGTGCGATAACAAATCCCCGAGCCTGGGTGTTGTTTGCCATGCTCTTCAGAACTAAACAAGGCTCTAGTGGCTCGTCCAGTGTACCATTCCACTTTTGAATTGGTTTGTGTACACACCAGCGCATAGATAGTTGGCTTCGCTCGCCCTTCCTCCCTTGCGCGGCGATGGCAATCCCACTGTTTAAACGCGCGACCCACGTCATGCATTCGTCTCTCGCCGTCATCTTAAGTGTGACCGTCCATCCCTACACATGTTTGGTGAACCGCTATTCGGAACCGGGCTTGTCCTATCCCAATCGCCCGTCGGTGGCCTGCCGCAGTGTCATGATCTGGCCGTGGTTCGGCTGGGGTGCTGGTGCCCAGGAGCACAGGCTTCGCGTTACATCGTGTCAGGGTGCCGCCATCGACACCTCCCTGCGGCCAGAGCTTCCTGGCCGGGCTCACGCGCTCACTTACCCCCCGGCGCCAAATCTACCAACGAGCATCGCTGCACATTACCAGCGCCGTTGGCCGGGCTCATACGCTCACTTACCCCCGGCGCCAAATCTACCAATGAGCATCGCTGCACATTACCAGCGCCGTTGGCCGGGCTCATACGCTCACTTACCCCCGGCGCCAAATCTACCAATGAGCATCGCTGCACATTACCAGCGCCGTTGGCCGGGCTCATACGCTCACTTACCCCCGGCGCCAAATCTACCAATGAGCATCGCTGCACATTACCAGCGCCGATTGGCCGGGCTCATACGCTCACTTATCCCCCGGCGCCAAATCTACCAATTAGCATCGCTGCACATTACCAGCGCCTCGTATGCACAAGCAGTATTTCGGTCGTGATATCTTGTGATATCCTGCAGTCTTGTAGTATCCTTTGCTACGTGACAATTGAGGGCTTGATTGATGTGGACTAACACCTTCCATTGTAGCAAGAACAAAAGGTGTCGTGATTAGTAGAACTAATTGTTTCAAAATGTTTCTGTAGACTGAAATAATCCGTATGCAGTTCGTCCGTTCGCTGAAAGCCCTTTGTGCTTTAGCTTAGAAAGCGTAATGTGTTTGTCCCCTCCATCTGTTTATAGCGTTGGCGAAATGAAGATTTAAAACATGCTCATACACATTCTGGCTTGTCCCCACTGTTGTCTAGTAACATGAAGGATCATGTTTATTGAAGGAGGTAGTCGAATAAGGGATATTTGTATTTGTTCCTAGTAGTGTCAAGTAAATCAATGATTCCCTGCCACAACGGTGAGGCCAGTGTCCCGAGGGCCAGTAAGTAACCACTCACCTGCCACCTTGCGGGCTGTTCTTGCGCCGGCCCCCTGCCGGCTCCCCGAGCTGGTAAGCGCGTGCTGACGGCCTGGCGCGCCCCCTCTGTGGCCAGGCTGAACATCGTCCAGTGGAGCGAGGACTGTTACGAGAGCCAGCTGATCGAGCGAACCATCAACGCCTGCGAGGGCCGTGTCGACCTAGTCATCGACTTCGCCGCCAACCCGCGGTCGCTAAACCGTTCCCTCAAATGTCTATCCAAGGTAAGTCGCAACGCCGGCGGCGACGGCGCATGGCGCCGAGCTGCTGCTGATGTGGGTGGCAGGTTTTGTGATGTTATAATTTTGTAAAATTTGCCACCATTTTATTTAGATGTGTGGATTGGTTACCATATAGCCAGACCACCCCTCCTGTCGCAACCTGCAAAAATGCAAATGATCCGGTTCAGATCCCGCAGGGTGTCATGGAATCAACGTTCAGCTCAAATCTCCATACAAACGCGGAACGCTCATTTTAAATGACCTGGCCCCAAATTAGAAATGCGCATGACAAGGAGACTGGGTCACAGTATGTCCATACCCAGCGCGCACCAATCCCCTGTCGTTATTCTAGCGCCACATTGTCCGCATACTCATGAAGGCGCGGAACATCCCAATTTTTGGCCGGCTTTCACACAACCCCGCAAACGCGACGCGTGTGCACGACCAAGGCTCCATGCTTATTACTTTCCAATCATTTGTCCCCGTCCACCGACCGGTTTCTTACAGTAGCAGCCGGCAGGTAAGTCACTTTGGCGGCGACGACCGGCGGCCGGTCCATCGATGACTGTGTTTGTCTCACAGGGCCGTCGGCCGGGTCGGCGCGTCCTTTTCGGCAGCAATTTGCTCTGTTTACCTATCTTTTGTGTTTGGGTAGGCGCTTTGATTCTAATTCGTATACACATATGCATATATATGCATATATATAAAAGTCAGCACCAATGATCATCACTATCTGTTGTCACGAGTTAGCTTCACACCTGTGTGACGGGTGCGGTGGTGCCCAGGGCGGCGTGATCGTGATTGGAGCGGAGACGGCTCAGCGCTACGTCAGCCGTTTCGAGAGCGTGGCCCAGGCCAACGAGCAGACGATCGTGCCCGTCGAGATGGGCTCCCTGGACCAGCTGCACACTCTTCTGGATCTCATCGCTACCAAAAAAGTAGGACATTAGCCGGTCATGAGGTAGCTCAGTGCGAAACTAGCACATGTTTTTTATGTTTTCTGCCAAGATGGTGTACATTACTTGTCCGCTCAAAAGTCCTAAGCCTTCCCCGTCGCTGGTGATACAGTCTCGTTTCTGTTTGGTCATTCTAGCTCAGTTTGCAGCGTTTTCGCAGACTGCAAGGTGATCAGCAGTGTTAAATATTCTGGTGCACGGCTGGAGCAGATTGATGTGTTTAAAAGCCAGTATGACAGCTGCTAAGATGTGTTCAGCACGCCGCGGCCCCGTACGATGGCGTTGTCCTCCGGCCGCCTGCGCTGATCCGCTGACATGTCCCGCCCAGGTGGAGCCTCCGCCGTACAACCTGTTCCCGTCAGAAGAAGCTGAGTCCGTCTTCATGAAGCTGGGCCGCGCCAAGATTCACGGCCGCGCCATCCTGCACTTCGAGACGATCCCCGACGCGCCGGAGACCTGAGCAGCGCCGTCTGTGGGTCCGGGACGACGCGGACAGCGTCATCTGTGGATGTGGGACAAGACCGACAGCGCCATCTGCGAGGCGGGCGTGCTAGCGACGCGCCGCGGCACGGCCGGGCGGGCAGCGGCGCTTGTGGCTTGCGTTTGGCGCCGTGCACAGGGCCGGCTGGAGCCAGCCGCTATTTATCCGCATCGAGGACTTTCAGTAGCGACTCTGTGTACCTTATTCCGATTGGGTGTAGTCTTGCGAGGGTGTGACCGTGCACGGAGGCGTCCGCGCGTGAGGCGTCTGCCTCCGTATGAACGGAATGGGACGGTGACGGACGGCGTCTGGCTGGTGGCGCCTTGCGGTGATGGTGAATTGTCGAGAGGACAGAGTCTTGTAACGGCAGAAAGACGTAAGTTTGCGTAGCAATCGATGTCTGCTTGCTAAGTGCGTGCGCTTTGTTTTGCGCGCGTTTATGCAGGTGAACCGGATTCTGCCTGCACAGCTTCTATTTGCTTTGAGTCTCAACAGTGTATTAGAGTGTGCGCTGACTCCTTAGAACTAACCTGGGCGGCAGTTGTGCAAATGGGACCGACTGAAGCAAGCGTTAGGAGCTGCAGATGTGTACTGAGGTAGGCAGTAGGTAGTTGTTAACGCAAAATTCGATGGTCCTGTTGCCGGAATGCTACATTTTGGCGGATAAGATCATTACCCAACTTCATATCCGGTAGGTGCCATCGAAAATCTGTATTGCAAGGCATCGCAGCGAAATATATGTCGTAAGTGAATACTGATAACAAAATAGAATGAGGCGCACGGCAGGCTGAGCATCTTTGTTTGCTTTTTTGCTTGGCGAGTAGATCCGGATCTGAGCTGGACGGATTAGGTTTTTGAATGACTCGCACGGCAGAAAAAGCGGGCTCATTAACTGAGAGTCCACCATAATCCGTCAGAAAGCGAAGTGCCTTCTTCTCTTGCATTGAGAATGGTCAAAGCATAGGGAGCCAGTGGCAGACGCGTCCAGTCTTCCGGCGGTTGGGTAGAAGCACGACCGGTATTAAACCTTCACCAGGGTGGTACGTGTTCCGCTGAGAGGGCCACGCATTCTGACTCCGAGCGCGTGGCTTTGCTCACTACCGCGACCCCGACCAGCGAGGCATGGCTGAGTGAAGCACGATTATGACCCGGAGCAAATGTGGCCCAACATCTGCATCCATTTGAACTATGTCTATTACGATTACAACACCTTCAGGAGCACTCGTTCATGGACTGCATAAAAACATGTGTAGGGCATTGGTTTTAAACAAGGATAGCAATACACCTAGTTTTCTCTTTGTTCCACGCATGCAAGTCGTCGAAATCGGAAAATCGATGTTTTCCGCTCAGGCCTGAAGTCCCTCCCATCAAGGATTGCAATCACTGCGGTTGGCTTAGCACGCGCTCGGGTGCGGCAGGGGTCGATTTGACCTCAGAGGTTTTTTTCCGGACGGCGCGGCATAGCCCTTTCACATTTTGAATAGCTGGAAGCAGTTGAATAGCTGACCTTTTGGCATCAGATTTTATACGTACTTTGCAAGGTCGCTAACCTACGGCAGGTCAAATCCATACCATGGATTTAGCGAAAACAATTTCTGGGAATTGTTTAATCTGACCTCACAACGAAGTGTTATACGAAGCGATATGTCTTTGAGACGGTTGCTTAGGCACAACAATAATTGAATAAATAACATTAAATGACCTAGCGTCAAGTATGAAGGTCAGACCAAGGTCAAAACCAACCTGTTTCTAGAGCCTGCTGCATGGGCTAGCTTCTGGTACTCATTTTGAATTTACCGATTGCAGGAACTGTATTAAACATCGTTTATGGACTTCTTGGGGGACAGAATAGGCCATTTACCTAAAATAACTCACGTCGGCATTATATCTTAAGAACATGCGGCCCTCCATATTCCTTGAGGCTTATTCGAATGCAAATATCAAAGTAGTGTTGCATAATTTTGGTCACCACGACCTCCTAAAAGTCAAGCAAGGTAAGTGACCTTGAAAAGCACCAGTGACCTTTTGCTTAAAACGGATATCCGGGTTCACGGTGATTTCATGACAAGGTCTGGCGGCACTTAGGATACCAATCTGGAATTGACCTCATTTCATGAAGTTTGACCGGAAGGTCATAGCCTAGTAACCTCAAACATTAACACAAGTCAGTTGAAGTACCGACCAACGCACCCTGTAAATTTGGTGTCTCTAGCTTTCCTAGTTTTTTTTTAGATCTCTGTTGGCAAATTGACCCCCACCCGAGCGGGGGATGTTCAACCAGCCACCCGACCGCGTGTTGACTCAAACCCCCACTCACAAAGTCTCGAAGCTCACCGTCGCTCAACAACAATTTGGGTGACACTGTAGTGGGGTACGACGCTTCGTCGATGTTAACGACACTGAGGGTTTTCATGGGTGAACGCCTGTTCCGGTTGTTATTTAACAGACGCCCGCCGGATGAGAAGTGGGTGTGACACACAGACCCAAGCGGTCTGCTCTGCACCACTTGAATGTGAATGCAAGATTGTGAAGTCAGGCAAGACTGGCAGGGAGCATTGCTAGTTTTCTAACGAACCTTTCCACTCACGTCTGGTCAAAAACGCTGATAGCTGTAATTCGGGTTTGTTTGCAGAATTTCCCAGACCACTTTCGTGTATTAGATGATTTTTTTAGCCCTTTTCCGACACGAAAATACTAATCATATATGTCGGCTTTTCAATGAGTCTAAAGCGTCAATATTATGAAAGGTGGTTAGCATTGCATTAAGATGTTCGGAAATAATAAAAAAACTCGTTCGTAAGAACGCGACGTGCACAATAATGGAGCACCTCTGACTCCATGCTGATGCAGAGACGACGCCAGTTCTAACGACCTTATCTCAACAACCCGCCAGTCAGGGGTGGTGGCAGTGGGTTTCTGTCGTCGATCATATGGCACGCGCCACAGGTGTCGCCAACAGTTTAGCTCGGTAGCGTGTAGCATGGCAAATAACTCCACACCCAGAACCTCAGTCAGGCTCCGGCTTTTCCAGTCTATCATCGGAATCCTCTTGTGACCAAAATTTTCAATATCCCAGGCATACAAAGGAATCTCTCACTTATATACGGCCATTCGATTGGTGACATGAACAGCTGCTGCCGCTAAAATTCAGGCACACTAGTCTTACAATCCCCTTTCACCTCGAAAACTTGTGGGACTTCATGACTGAGCTCGATTTACGGCTGGCTTCTCTCCTTTGACCGCGAAAAACGACGATCGACCTCGGTCGCCATAGCAGCTGAATACATGGCAGAATTCCATCCAAAGTGAATTGTGAGTCGTAGTTGTTTTCACGGAAGTCTGTGATACACATTAATTACCTACGATCGTTTTCTTTCTTTTCATTCAATCCGAGTGAGAGGATGCAGCGACTCGATGAACAGTTGGGTTTATTCATATTTTGTTTAAAAAAGATCTTAGAAAACCTGATTTTTGGGTATTTTTGAAAACCTGAGTTTTGGACGGACAGCTTGTCCCCCTGGACTTTGGATTGGACTTTTTGCTTCCTTGACCACAATGCCTTGCAAAAGGCAAGCTTGAGGGCAACAAATTGCATGCATCCATCCCTGCGCCGCGCGTCCCATCTGCGCAACATTGGGACTTGGTCTGCACCGTTTATTGCGTCAGTTGTTCAGTGCATCTGCGAGGAACATTGTGTGTATAAATAAGGCAATAGTAATAGCCTCATTCCTTGTGGAAAACCCAAGGAAAATGGAAAAATTAATGCGTTGAGGCAACGTGCTTTTGTCGAAACGAATATCGGTAGTAAAGTCACTTTTATTCATATTTCGGCAACATGCCTTTGTCGAAACGAATATCAGTAGTAAATGTACTACTGATATTTGTTTCGATAAAGCTATGTTGCCAAAATATCGGCGCATCCATCTCTCAAGTTTCTCTTTATACGAGAGTAAGGTTAAGTTTTCTATGAAGAATAAGTCTATTACTACCGTCTTGTCTATTAGTATCGTTTATTGATCGAATGTAGCAAAGTTGCATCCTTTTTCTATGCTGTATGCAAGCACACTGCCGGAAACAGCCCTATGGCAATGCTCCAGTATGGCAAGTATCGAAACACGTTATCTAGAGAAATGGCACGCCCCAAATGACCACTTTCACTGAAATCTTCGAAAATGTAGCCGGAGCACCGCAACCACACTGATCAGGAGGATGCTGACACGTTCGAGCGTGTGTTGACACTCTCTGCTGGCAACAACGACGATCACATAGGCGTGAAGTTGCGGGGGTAATTTTTTGAACAGCTTTGGTTTCTGAGACAGGACTTTACCAGATGCGTGGTTGAGCAGGGGCCAAACAGTGCAGCACCATGCGCTGCAAGTGCCGCACAGCGCGTGCAATGTACTTGTTCAGATGTCACGATTCGGGGTCTTGTGTCAACAAGAAAACTGCGAAAAACGACGAGGTGTTTCGATCCCACTCTGGCAGTTTTTTGGACGAGATCGCTGCCTTTCATTGCTGGCTCTGAGTGCTGCTTGTGTTGAGCCATGAAATAAGTGGCAGCGTTTTATGAGAAAATAGTCTAATCTTGTTTCATGAAGTCCGAACGGCTTGTAGAAATAGGTGTGTTAGCCTACCACTTCGCACACAATTTTGCCTGCAACTGTCCGAGTGCAACCATTTGCACGTCATCCAATGCCTTGACACGGTCACGGCTTATAATCGTGGAGACCCTCCCGCTTTCGTCAGCTGGTATCTGTTGAGTAAACAATCAACCGCCCCTGAGACTTGAACTTCAACACCTGCCAAGTGTTGGAGTCGCCTGTTGAACGACGCGAGTACGGCTGCGTAAGCCGGCGCGGGGATATATATATATATATATATATATATATATGCATATATATATATATACATATATATATAATATATATATTTATATATATATATATATATGCATATATATGTGTGTATAATATACATATACCCTGGCGATTGACCATTGAATTGCATGTTTGAAATAACAGAGAGCCATGAGGTGAACGGTCAAGGACTTGTTCAATTAGTTTAATCCTGTGAGGTGGAAGCTCAATTAATGGCATTGGTCATCTAATTGGCTGTGAAATATTCCGTGACTGTGGGCACATTCCACGCTCGGTTTAGCCTCGGCCTTTATTTGGAGCAGTACATGAAATACCTTAATATGGTACACAATCGTCAGGCGGCCACGAAAAGTGTCCACCACCAGGAACAGTCCGCCACCAGAAACCAATGCACCCCCAGTGCCCAGTCCGCCACCAGAAGCCAGTCTACCACCAGCAACCTGTCCACCACACAAGTAACCAGTTTATAAAAAACAAGTCAGCTCTTACGTCTGGACTGAGTGGTATTGCAGGGTGATGCCAGCAAAGACATTTCGGTAGCGGGTGGTGAAGCAGGCATTTCATCTAACTTACTCACTAATGAGTGCTGACACTGATCCCCATGCTTGTGTCTGGGCCGTCAGGCGATAACATTATTGTCAAATCAGGCGGGTTAGAGCCGTGGCCGTCGACGGGCAGCTGCCGGGCTAGAGCCGTAGCCGTTGACAGGCAGCTGAAGGCTAGAGCCGCGGCCGTCGACGGGCAGCTGCCTGGCTAGAGCCGTGGCCATCGGCGGCGGGCAGGCTAGAGCTGTGGCCGTTGGCGGCGGGCAGCTGCCGGGCTAGAGCCGCGGCTGTCGACGGTCAGTAGCTGTCAGGCTACTGCCAGGCCGTGGCCACCACCGACAGTTCGGAGCAGGGCTGGGACGTCTGAAA